CACATAACTCTTACCTAAAATAGATAGTTATCTTTATAAAATTATTGTACTCGCGATGCCGGTACAGCCATGAAGATTCTAGATAAGATATATAATTCTGGATATATTGAAAAATTTTTTTCCTAGAATTTTAAAATATTTATATCCTTATTTATTCTCTTAACTTTTGAGAACTTTACTATTAAAGTTGCAATAGGCATTTTTTGATCCTCCTTTCTATCTGATGATAATTTGATTTTTTTTCTCTATCTAAAAGTAAAATTTAAAGATCATCAATGTTGCTATCATTATTATTATCACTACTACCAGTAGGTATTGTCGCAACCTCCAATATATTGTAAATAATGGAGTTTTGAGTATGCCATAAATCCTTAAGATTAGCCGTTTGTTTTTACTCAATATTCAATAAAATTTGATATCGAGGGTCTAAATATATAGAAGCGTATACAACACTATTTTGCAAATATTGTTGTTCTCGAATTTTTATGTTTTCTAATATTTCGTATAAAAAGAACTGTAAATTTTCCTAAATATAATCGGCATCTAATCCATATGCCATAAAAATCAAATAAACATAATTGTTCTGATTGTAATCTTAATAGTTATTTTTAAAGGAACTAATACACTAGTAAGGTCCTTTATTTGGCAACAATCATTTCCGACAAAATGACTTCACATGCTCCTATAATAAAATTATTACAGAAATATTTCAAACTTAATAATTGTTCTAGCATCATGCAAATTGAGGGCGAACGTGTTGTGCATTATCATTTAAATTAAAATATTATTACACAATTCACTTTAAAAATAATCAACGTATTTCTATAACATAGCATATTAAAAAATTTACATAATAAAATATTATTACCTACACTAATGATATCCTAAATAAAATGGAAGTCCAGGAAGAAAATTGAAAGAAAAACGCGAAGATAAAATAAATGATTCCAAAAAAGTTAATAAAATTTTAAAAAATTTATATTATTTTTTAAATAAATATTTTTATTTTTAAAAATTTTTATGACACCTAGAACCCTTGGACCCTCCACTTTAAAAAGGGTCCGGGTTCAGCCAAAATATAAGGGTCCGGGTTCGGGTTCACATCCCTGGTTCAAAATGAATTTTTCTTTCATTTATTTTAAATTGATACAGTGTTGTGTAGATTTAATTCAAAACATTTCCATATTTTTTAAATAAAAACTTGTAAAAATTGATAAGAATATATATATAAATATGTTATTTTTACAATTTTTTTCTAGTCAAATAATTTTATTTTCGAATAAATTAAAAATATGAAAATGTTTTCCATCAAACCTGGTCAATACTGTAAAACCCCCTCCTTATTTCTAATTGTCTAAGATAATCTCAGAAATTTTAGTTCCCTTCAAAAACTTAAAAAATCTTGAAAATCACGAATAAACAATATTATAGACACATATCATTTTATAAATCAAATTTTCAATTAAAAAATATTATAAATTATATTTATAAAAATTAAAAAAAACGCGCTTCCAGAGACGCAATAATTGATATGAGATCGGGGTGTGAACTTTCTATTTTTAATTGTAGAACACATAGTATTAGTGTTACTTTACTAAACAATTGCTCAACCTTAGAGCTTTTGGGGTAAAAAATATTTATTATAATCGTTTTCAATTTCACCCTAATCAATTCATCCTATTTTGAGATCATATTTTCCTAAGTTTAAATTACATGTATCAAAACAAAAGCCGAGTCAAGTATTTTGAAATACGATAAAAAGATTTTTTACAATGGTGATGGCAATTTTTTTTTAGATATTTTGGCTATTAAATTTATTTCATTATAATTGCCTTAATATTTTTAGATTCTTCCTTATATCTTGAATCTTGTTATGAATTTTAAAAATTTTCGTATTTTACTAATAAATTTATATCTATACTGTTTACTAGGTATGTAAATTTCTTTGGAAACTACAATTGAGAGAAAATTTCCGGGAAATTTGGGGGAAAATGGGAAATAACGAGGAAAAGGGAGAAATTTGTAAAAAAATTTATTTTACAGGTCAATATTTGATTTTTTTTATGTTTTATCAAAATGTATAAACTTTTAATATGTCATATAAACAAGTATGATATAATTTCAATTATTTAATTAGTTATCCTCGTTTGAAACAATTAGATCTCTAAAATCAAGCAATTTGCCATTTGTCTCGCATCATCTAAATCTAGGTTTCCAGAAAATCAATTTATAACATTAATCCTTCATCAAAAACTTCATTGTCTTTAAAATTAAATCCGCAATATTTTGGGTTAAGTATACGAGCAGGGTAATGAATGTCCCGGCAATAAATAATTTTCCGATTTTTTTCATAAATTGTCTTATCTCTATAATTTCGTTCCTTAAGAGATTTCCCTGATATGAATAAATGCTTGAGGAACGTCAGATAAGTTTGATTTGTCTGCTTCGACTTCCTCTACTTGTGTAGAAATGACTATAAAATTGTATAGATGTGCATCATTTAAAAAACTCAATTATCAAAAAGATTAAGTCTTTTACCTATATAAAAAAAATATTAAGTATCGCTGCAAAATATTTATTTTTTAACAAACTATTAATTATCATAACTATACTGACCATAGTAATATCTAATCATAATTTTTCATGGGATTGGCCCGGCTGAAGACCTGGAAAATGGGGGTTTGCCGACGAGCTCTCAAAATTTTGTTTTACAACCCCCCTCCGCTGGATAAATCCTAACAACGTCACTGTAAGCCAATCCTAGTTGTACCCATGCTACTTGATAAATATTAATATTTAACAAGATAAATGAATTAAAATTTTTGATACATATTTAGTAAAATACATATATGGGCATACATCTGGATATAGATCAACAAATTTATTTATTTTCATTCTTAAAAATTTTATATTAAAAATATTAGTATCATGGAATTTTCAATCGAAAATACAAGAATAATCATTAATTGTTTATTTTTATAGTTATATTTCATCATAATTCAGAGGTGTTAAAGTATCTAGATCCTGTATCTAGATATAAATATGTGGTATCTGTATCTAGATAGATTTTTGATTAAAATATCTGTATCTAGATATTATTTTAGACGTATCTGTTATCTGTTTTTAGATACTTTTCAAGATACATTTTTATTTAACGCTTTTTATATTATAAACAAAAATACTTGAATGCAAAATTTATTTTATTTCATATGAGCATATAATTTAAATATATATATATTAAAAAATATTAAGGCTACTATAATAAAAAATTATATATATATATACCAGACAAATTTTGATATTACAATGCAACTCAAGAAATCTGCCTTTTTAATTTTCAATGGAATTAGTTAATTTTATTTTATTATACTAATTTAAAAAATTTATTTTAGATTAATATTAATTTTAATAGTGATAAAGAGGAAGTAATAATCAATGAAGCATCAACAAGTTCAGACATTGTTTTTATGGCCAATTTATAGAGAATATTCTAAAATAATATCTCAAAATAAAAAAAAACAAATCTCTGATAGTAAAATGTTTGCCATATCTACAAAAAATACGAAAATTTCAGTTAGGCAACATTGTAAAACATTTAAGGTTATAGAGACTAAATGTTTACAATTGTAATTTTCAATTTTAAAAGAAAAAATCAAACACTGTTAATGTAAAAAACAATTAATACAAAGATTAGTGATGAATTATCAAGGTCTTCAACTGATTGCAAACAAATAACCTGCGAAAAAAATTAATTTATATCCTATTTTTTTCAGTACCCCACAGCAGGAGATACGATTGTTAATAATGATTTAAATTTTGATACTCAACAAATTTTAAATAATTTTTTCGAAAATGAATGCCCAGATTTTAGTATTTTTAAAGAATATCCTGATATAAAATTGTTATTCATAAAATATAATACCACAATCCCTTAAAGTGCCCCGGTAGAAAGGCTTTTTAGTGTAGCTAAAAATGTCTTTACGGATTAACAAGGATGCCTTAATGACCAAAATTTTAAAAATATTTTATTACAATCTAATAATTATTTATAATCATTTATTCATTTCATATATTATATTAAAATCTAAAAATCATTATTTTAATTTTGATAAATGTGATATCTAGTCAATAAAGTTTTTAGCTCATTTCATACATTTTCACAATACTATTCTAATTTAGGTTCATGCAAAGCTTATATAAGAGTATTAAAAAATTGTATCTGTATCAAGATAACTGTTTAGATGATGTATCTGTATCTAGATAGCTTTTTAGACTATGTATCTTTATCTAGATCCATTTAAAAAGTATCTTTTAACAACTCTGTCTTAATTGCTTTTTAAAATTTATTAATAATTTTTGCAGTTTTTATCAAAGTAATAAATATTATATACCACAAATGTTTTGAATTCATTTTTATTTTTGAATGAATAAATCGTTAATGGTTATACAACGTGAGTTTGAAAAAGATAATTATATGTAGATGTTTTGCGTACACGGATGATGAAATACTGCTAAGTGTACTAGGGCAGAGATAGGTGTAGTGACAGAAAATTAAAAGGAGTTTCACATAGAATAAAACCGTCTTAAACCCGTTCCGATCCCTTTAAGATATTTTTCTAAATTTTGTTTAAGGGTATTCAGGAGTAGACTAAATGAGGACAAAGCCATTAGTGATTTAATTTATATATTTTCAATTAAAAATTCCGAGCCAGGCTCTGAAAAATAAAATTTCAGACTGGACGAGGCTGAAGCTTAAAAATTAATAAAAATGCCGAAATAAATTGAATTTACGGTGATCACCCTGAAAAACCCTAAACTATTTTTAAAAGGGAGTTGGGGGGTTCAAAGGGCTGTGTGATTCACAATCACAGCCCTGGAATAAATAATATTTTCAAAATTCCTATTATTCAAATACATAAATAAATTTTTTAAAAACTAATTAAATGAGATATACATAACGTATTACTTTTTATTTATTAAAAAAATTATAAATATAATAAATATGATATTTATATAATTTTGAATCAATATAATAAATTAAACGGCATTATTTTAAGCTTTGAATCCCTTGGTCAATCTCAAAAAATGATCTTGAGCAATTTTCTCTAATGCTGCCAAAGCCTGAATTTTTGGTGCCAATTCCAACATGTGTCCTTCATAACCACTTCCTAATTGATATTTAAAAGTAATAAAAATTTTATATTAGCTCGATTTGAATTTCCGATAAAAAAAAATTAAATATATAACAATTTTAAGATAATTTATATAGTTTATACCAATTTCCTTTCTTTTAGCGCCATATATAACTTTACCGTCAAACTCATTTAAGGGGACTTTAATGTCGGGGTCAATTTGTTGTATGGTAATTCCCAAATGTTCCTCAATATCGGCTAAATACTTTAAATTTTTTAAAATAATTTTGAATACTAAACATAGATGCGATTTGGCAGAAATATTAAATAGATAAGTATTGGCCCTGTTTAAATAAGACATTTTAGTGATTTTACAGCTAACTTATGTTGTCTATGATGCTATAGTAAATTAAATTCTTTATTTTCGTTTTATAATAAAGTTTGTATTGAAGAAAGATTATATTTTCTTTAATATATATTATAACGAAGTTCTACCCTAAAAAGAAAGTGGCTGTGGTTACAAATAAGTGGTCTATTTATAAGTTTTTGATATAAAATCATTTGAATAACAAAAATAATCGTAAATTGTTAAAAAATATAAACTAAAAAGTATAAATAAATGTAAAAGGTTAGAGAAATAAATTACAATGAAAGTAAAAGGTTTACAGGTAAATGTAATTTAATAAGTTAAATAAGTGTATATGTTATAACTTATATTATAAGGTTTAATATGTTGGCATAATCCCCAACAATTATTATTATAAAAAATTTCTTATGTAATGTAGAATTCTGCAAGGCGGTCTCATGTCCCGCAACATAAATAATATTGGCCCCACCAAAAATTATTATTATTCTATTCCACTAGATTAAATTAGTCACATCGTTTGGTGAATAAAATATATTAGACTGGCGAAGGAATCATGAAAAGAATTATCAAAACTTAAGCATATTGGCCAAAAAAATTATAAAATAATTTATTTTTTTGAGATATATTTCGCAATTTTGTTTATACTATAAATTCAAGATGGTCCTCAACCTGAACGTTTTTTTTAAAGAATAATTAAAACCTCCAGTATTTTTGGATCAGCAAAAAAATCATTTTAAAAATTAGCAAAAAAATCATTTTAAAAGTTAAATAAGTTTTTAGTGATAAAAATTAAGTTGATACTCAGCTGTCAATTTTTGACAACCACTTGGACGGTTAAGAGATCAGATTAAAAGGTTAGAGATATGGTTTGATTCAACTGCACAGACCTTTAGTCTCGGGATGTACTTTCTCTTAATTTTTATTATGCCTTTGATAATATAATCACCTACAACTATAAGTTGCAAGACACATTCCTCTTCTGGTAACCTTCACATTTTTCATTATACATCAATCATTTCTCCTCACCAAAAAATAATCCATCACACTCCCTACGCCACAAATTCACATGTCCCCAACTTCCTAGATCTTTTTAAAATAAAGTGTTAAACACAACCATTTCCAATGTATCACCAAATTCTAATATTCTCTCACCTTCAATATTTTTCATACCAAAACTAAATTCTCCATAGATTTTCTCTTGCTCCAACTTGACCATTATGTTGCCGTCTTGCATAATGGCGTTCTCTAGAAGTATTCTGATGTCAATTCTGTTAATTTATCCCAAAATACATCTTTGTTTTTTAACATTACCAACTGGGACGGGGGCACATTAATCACGTTGAATATTCTTTTACCTATGATCATTTTGCCAATATACGATTATTCACTCTTATCATATTCAGGACTCTGTCTATTTTTTCCGCAACAAAGATACAAACCCTAAAAACCATCATTAGACTGCCAAAAGATCTCGATTTTGCATTTGTTTACCAATCATTCTTGACATTTTTCTTTTCATCCAGTCTATTATATGCAATATACGTTTACCTTCCGTCTGCATAATACCTCAAAAACTTTGCCCACTCTTCCTCTAATACTCCCAGCATTCTACGTAGAACCCTTACACTCTCACTATCAGATAGGTTTAACCTAAGTGTCAGGCCGTTTATGACTGCCCCTTTCAATGATTGTAGGTAAACTGTATTCTCCATCTTTTTATATTGTAGGCAAATGAGTGCACCCTCTGGGCACTTCGTATTGCACCCCATCCATATTTTGTTGTATCGTACACAGAAGTTAATGTAACATATTTTTAAGTTCGTATGCCCTTCCTAATATCAATCTTTTTGGTATTTATTACACGCCAAAGACTATGATCGTATTATATGCTAGATAATAGGAAACTCTTTAAACCTTCACAAGATTTCTGAAGACGTTGCCACTAACCTTGAAGAATAATTAATAATTATATTTCATTTAATCTAATAGTATATGGTTTCTTCAATATATAGTGGATATATGACGCGAAGAATAATATAAATAAAGAAACGAAAAAACTTTGAAATAGAATTTTTATACACACATTCACATTCATTCTTATTGCGAATTCAATTTTTTTTTTAGTTTTTATTAGGAGGTTATAATTTACTTTATTTATTAACAGAAAAAAAAATCATTCAAATAATAAAATAGGAGTAAATTTGTCCCTTTTTCATATTTATTATATATCTAAAAAAAATATATTAATATAAAATGATACTTACGTATAAATAAAAATCTTTTAAAAATCAATAACTAAAAATGTTAATTTAAATATGTGAACATAAGAGGAAAATATCTACACTTAATTATGTATGGAACAGATATATCATGGTTACCTAAAACTATGATATTAAAATAAAATAATATAAAAATATTTGATATAGAATAGTTCGAGATATATTAATGTTTTAAAATAGATTAATGATTCAACATGAAATAATTTCAATCTTTTAATGAAAAAATAATATGAAAAAACATATAAAGCAAAATAATCCGCAAGGTAGGGTTTATTTTTTTAATATTATAATATAAAATAATATTCAAAACGAATAAATTTTGGGTCATTTTGACAAGTAGACATTTCATAGTGATTAAAATTTATATTCTCATATAAAAAATCTCAAAATTGAGATAATTATTATAAGGAATTATTTTATTAGTACTTTCATTTAAATAATATGCTTATTTAACTAATAATACAATATTATACCCATGATAATATCCTTCTTATTCAAAAATGCTTAATAAATATCAAATAATTTTAACCTGAGGCTCGTTATACCAAATAGTGCATCCTCCTTCAGTGATTAAATTTGTTTTAAAGCAATTTTTGCCACGGTTGGGACATTTATGGTACCAAACCTTTTCGGGAACGGCAGAGACTAATGATATCGCAAGACCCATTCTTTTGGAAAAATGTTGAGTTTTAAATTACTACTTATGTTTATGATATTTTTTTTGACAGAAATTTATGAAAGATTATATAAATCCTAAAATAAAACATACAAAATTAAAAGGAACTAGATTAGATTAGAAAATTATCAAATTTTACTACTTCTATATTCATAAGAGCTCTTTAGAAATCAAAAAAAAATAATTTTGTCTATATTTTATATCAAATATCAAAGAAAAACTGGGTAAACATAACAAATAAATGTGTTTGAAGAGAATTTAATATTTTGTTTAAAAATGGGGCGTTTCTGTCTAAATCATATTGTATGAACCTTTATTTCAATATTTTTGCCCAGTTACTTTTTTATCAAATGCATAAAACTCATTTAGTCCTCTCAGAATCAAAAAAATAATCCTGAAGCTATAAAAAAAGCTCATATAAATACCTAGTGACAAGGCCGAAAATGACGATGACGATGCATTAATATTTATATTTAAAGAGTGATTTCTGGAAAATTGACCCCCCCCCACCCCCCAAATAATTTTTTTTGAACATTATAATATGACTTGCATTTATATGTTTTGTCAGAAGTATGAACATGCATGTGACTAAAAATAGGTTAAAAAATATGAATATCTTGCAGAAAAAACTTTTACTTAATTATTTTTCAATGTATTACATATTTTATTTTTCGGATAAGAAGAATTAAATTAAAATAAATTAGGGGCTAATTTTACATATATCTTAGAGTAAATTTTGTAAGTTAAAGATATTATTTATGCCAAAATACTTATCAACCCTCCCAACCCTTCCTATCCTATGAAGGTAATTCGATTTCTCGTCTGGCAACGTAACGTTAATGGTGTAAGGCAGGCCGGTGATGTCTATGCCTCTGGCTGCAACATCAGTGCAAATCAGAAATTTTACTTGGCCTTGCTTAAAACTTTCTAAGTTAGCGCGACGTTCTTGCGGGTTACGGTCACTATGAAGACAGGCACATGAATAAGGGTTGTTTTTGGCGTGGGTTCCTTAAGATGACATTAAATGATTAATTTAAATATCTATTTCATGATTTAAAAAAAAGAAAAGTAAGAAGGTTAAATCTTTTTAGATTTAAAAAAATCCAATCAATTCGGAGATTAAAAATTTTATAATTAGAGAAAGTATCGTAATACGCTGTAAAGTATTGAGAATGCACAAGGAGAAATTAAAATATGTAAATATAAATTAAATAAGGAAAAGATCAAATAATATTTTAATTGGGTAGATAAAATACCTCCACCCATTTTCATTATATAGTTTTCGAGATTATCGCAATCTAATTTGGTCCTACAAAATATGATGCACTTATCCATCTTGTGTTCGTTTATAGCTCTAAGAGTGTATTCGGCCTTCAAAATTTTGACAGCTTCTGAAAAACTTTCTAAATGATTAAACAATAAAATCATTAAAACGAATAACTTAAATATATCTAAGATAAATCCCCTATATTAAATATTTTTATTGCATTATAAAAGAAACAAAAAAAATGGTTTCTGTTCTGGGTGCAGAATATATAATATTTTCTAATTTAAAAAAACAAAATAATATTTGTACTAACATTAATTTCTTAGCCTTATTTAGAAATAAGGCTAAAAAAAATTAAAACTATATTACCCTTATTGTTAAAGTTTGGTCCGATAGTATCTTTAGAGTGTACGCCGTCAGTTTTGATTGGATTTTTCAACCTCTCCCATAATTTATCGCGTCTTGGGTCAACCATGACAACCTGTATTTCGATTTAAAAATTAAAAATAAATCAATAAATTATTGGGGGAAAAAATAATAATTAACAGTGTCTATGATATTTAAATTTAAATGGTAATAAAATAATCAAAACTATATTTTTTTCGAAATAACTTAAATATAAAATAAGAATTTATAGAAATTAAATTGACATCAGGTATTAATTACCACGTGATGAACAGTCTCAGGTATGCTGTCCTGTCCTTTTAAATCTACCCAAATAGGGAAAGTCATAACACTTTCGGCCATCTTCTTTACATCAAAATCTCTTAAGGTGGCAGAGCATACAACTACCTGTAATCTAACTCCTTTTGCGTTGGTATTTCTCCCCAATATATCTCGTAATTTATTGATGAGTTGTAAATGACCGGCTTTTAAAAGAGCATCAGCTTCGTCCAGGACGAAAAAACGCGTACTTTCAAGATTTAGAGTAGAAGAGGTAAATACCAGGTCTTCGAGTCTACCAGGGGTGGAGACTACTATATGAATAGTGTTAGAAGTGAGAGCGGTGATTTGAGAACGGCTGTCTGAACCGCCAACAACTAATAAGGCGCTTTAAGATAATGAAATTTTGAAAAGTATATATTTTTTAAAAAAAATGTTATAATAGTAAATTTAATTTAACCCTTTCCAGCAAAAAAAAATATGTTGATAATTTTTGCTTTTGTTATAGTAAAAAGTTTTATTTTTATCTATAAATAAATAATATATTTTAAATTTTTCAAAAAATAAGTGGTATCACAAGGACAGCTATATCAGAAGGCATAGAAATTTTTAAATAAGATTGGATGAAGGGAAGCATTGCATTCATCGCACCTCCATCTTATAAAATCTGTTTTAATCATCAAGATTAATAATTTTATAGCTTTAAAAACATAAAATCTTATTTTATTAATTAACATTGGTAAATTTAAATATAACAAAAGCCATATTTGATTAACTCCGTTTCAAATATAAATTTTTAACTTGTGTAGTAAATTAGAAAGATTAAAAATATATTTGATTTTAATATTTTGGTAGTTTTAATAAAGATTATTTAAGTATTAAGTCTAAATTTGATATTTTTTTAAGAGGTTTCCAATTCATTGCCTAAAAAAGTTAATAAGAAGTGATAGCTAAGAGTTCATCCGAAGATAGATGAATATGCGAATGTTAAAAGCGAGAAAAGTAGTTTTAATAAACTTTTGAAAATGGTAAATAAAAAAAGGATGCTAAAACATGACAAATAAAGCACAAATGAGAATACAGTTTAGGCGAAAACAACAAAAACTTCTTGCATAAATGTCATATTTAAAGGATATAAAGAGTCAAATAGTGTTGATAGATGGCTCCATTTTTGTAGATTAAGAACCGGCTTAGCGGAATGTGTTTTTCGCTCTAAGACCTCAACTTCGAGGTGATGGCCCAAAGTATGGCTCTAACCTTAAGGAAAGTCAAAAAAATTAACTCTTACTAAAACAGATGATTTTTTAGACACGTGCAAGGTAGAGCCGATTTTTCTACACTACTTTTAAGTGTTAATAATATAAATATAAATAAAGTAATCATTTAAAAAAATTTCGGGACAGGCCCGGACCCAAAAAATAAAAATTCTAGGCGAGGCTGGGAATTTATAAAAATTGAGCAGGGTTTTACCCCTTTACAGATACCATATCATGTTAAGTTATAAAAAAATAATCCCCATACCCCCCCCCCCCCCGAATATAAATGTCATTATATATTACCCAATTTAAAATTTTTTAAATAATGACTGTATTGAAAATTTTCAAAAACAAAATTTATTAAAAAAGTGTGAACCAAATTTTTTTTAAAATTAACATGGCCAAAGACTTCAGCGAGCTATAAGCTTACCTGTGAAACGTAGGGGGGGGGGTACTATAAAAGTTCCATCCATATGAAATCCTGGTTATGCCTAAGCTGAATGTTTATAAAATATTTAACGGATAATGTTTTCTATTTTGTGCTAATTTAATATTATGTAAATCGAAGGATTTCGTTAAAAAAATATATAAATTACTTTATAGCGGGATCCTTCATATGTTTGCTAAAAGTAGTAATGACTTTGTATGTTTGTTCAGCTAATTCCCTCGATGGTTCGATAATCAAAGCTAGAGGCCCTGAAGGTTTTTTGCCACTCAGATTAACAGAGTTCAAAGCTATCATATAGAATTTATAGAAATTAAATTTAAATTGATTTACAATAGTGAAACTATAAAAATTAATTATGAAATAAAGGATTTTATTATTAATTGGAGTTTAATGTTTCATCGTATAAAATTACTTAAATTTAAATTATAAAAAATTTTTCTAAAAAATCAACTTATATTAAATTCAGGGTTCTGACCACTGGTCCGAGATACCATAATTTTTAAAAATGAGCTTTGCCAGGCATACAAAACCCTAAGCAAAGATCCGACATTTTTCAGAAAGTGCAAGTGTAATATGCATTATAATATTCAATTCAAATATAATTTATTTTATCATAACAATAAATAGCGAATTTGTACAAATAAACATGTTAAATCATAAAAATTAATAAGAAAATTACATTTTGAGATAAAATCATTAATAAAAATATTTTCCTTAGGTCTAGATCGATGATCAAATGGCATAATTTTTATATCAATTAGTATATTTTATTTAAATCATTCCTTTTTATTTACAGAAAAATTCGAACCCGGCTTGGTCCGAGAAAAATGTCAAGAACTTGGGTCTGGGTTTGATCCAGGACTCTGTAGAGCTCAAAAATTCACTGACAAAAAATTAGTAAAAATACCATTAATCGTTGATTCATCTACAATAACTTCTTTAGGTGCATTGCATAATGGAGTATACTCTTCCTTGGTAGGTAAATGACTTAAAGGTTGCTTGCCAAAATTTACTTTAACTCCTGAATTTTTGAGACAAATGGAAGGGTAGAGGGGCGTCTCCTTTAAATAATCGGGTATTTTATAAGCCATACCAAAATCTTTACCTTGGTGAATTATATATATATATATATATATATATATATATACTTTAAATATAGCTAACATCTATGCTTAACATTATTAGTTTGTTTCAAATAATCGACTTGCAGAGGTACTTATTGCACAGTCCGCCGCGGATTTTATTTGTTTTTCATTTTCAAGCTTTGTAAATAAATATATAAGGGATTTTCCAATATTTCCCATCTGATGTAAATGATAAAAAATTCGGCTTAGACTAAGTTTATTATTTTAATAGAACTACCCGGGCCAGGCTTTGATCTGGGCCTCAGCTTTAAATTAAGCCTTTTTCTATAAAAAAAGGGGGCTAAATATTTATTATTTTGCGAAAATCATAAAATATCCTTTTAAAAAAGGTAAATATGATTAGTAAATTCAAAAATATATAGTGGGCTCAGTAATATAGTGTTCTATATCCACTTTCAAAAATCTTTTCTAAAAGTTAAAATAAGTGTGTAACCATTTTTAGAAAACTTGATTGTATGATCATCTGTATTTAGATAGCATCCTATAGTGTCACCGAATGTAAAAGATTCCCCATATGTATCAAATTGTTTGTTAAATGACTTTTTGCCAGTACCACCAAAACCGAACCCTAATCGATCAGTTCCTGATTTCGTAATAGTTAAAAGGTTAAAATCAAAGTTTGAAAGGGTGGAAAATCTAAAAACCGGAACAAGAACAATCTTTTAAAATTTATAGGAAGAACTAGAACCCATTTTAAAAATGGATGATAGTTTAGATATTTTAAATTGTTTTCAAGAGTTTAAAACTGGAATCAAAATCAAAAACTCTCGAAATCATGGCAAATGTGAGAATCGGATACCAATTTTCAAAATTATAAGAATGTGAACCATTTTTTTTTAAAAATATTTAAAACTCGAAATAGATTTTTAGTCTAAGTTCTAAAATTCTGGTTTAAATATTAAAAAAGCTATAAAATTATGTGTGGATTATTTTTAAAAAATTAGTCCGACGAATCCAATCTGACTATACTTTTTTTTCATAGATTCGAGTGTGAAAATTTATTTTAGAAACAGGTTCTGATTTTTTTTTAGACTATTGAAAAAGTACGATATTTCAATGGCGAAAAAAATTCTAAACACTGAAGAAAAACAAAATAATTTAAACATTTATGGAAATCTGAATCTGGTCCAGTCCCAAAATTTTGAATTCAAGGTTCAAATGCCATCAAGTCCAAAAAAATGAGTGATCGAGTCCCTCGGGAGTTCGGATTATCTTCTAATGAGATTTTAAAAATTTCAAAAAATGTTTATCATATTTTTACCTAGATCAAAGCTTGCTTGTTTGGATGACCAGCCCACCCTCACTAAACCATTCTCTTCTGTTATGCTGACTTCATAGTAATATTTGCCTTTGATCCTAGTGGAAATGGCTTTATTTGCTCTACAACCAAGCCATTGTTGGGTATGATTTTCACAAATACTTCTTTCTGGATCAATAGCTGTTAAATTTTTGATGTAGATATATTAAAAGGAATTATATATAATTATATAGATGACCTTATAGTCAGAGGTGTAGTACAAAAATCGTTGGACCCCCACCAAAAAATAAAAATTATTATGGGGGCTCTCCCAGAGTTGCCAGATATTTTTCACTCCTATGCTCAAATTTTCCTTTCACTTTTACCCAACCTTCAGGGTATATTGATAGAGCATATTCTTGAATAATATTACTTATACATAGTCTTTTGCAAAATATTTGAAAATAATCTTTGAAATCCTGGATCAGTTAATTTATATAATAGTTTAAAATTTAAATAAGTTACTGTGAAAATTATTTATTTATTTCTTCTTTATCATATTTGTCAAAATTAAGCAAGGTTAATAAAAAAAGTACAAAAATTCATTATGCTAAATTTCTTCAAAATTAATTTATTAAAGTATCCTACACACATGATTGGTCTTATTATTATTAGAGAATAAACAAATTTATAAATAATATCTTAAAAATTTTCCACGCCATATTAAAAACTGGCATAGCTCAACTCAATCGCGGTCTTTTATGTGGGGAAATTGCTGGCAGTGGCTAGAGCCAGCAGAGCATATGCATACTTATACATATTAAATAAATTATGATATTTAGGACAAAATCTGATTCAATAATATTTTTATTAATTTCATATTTACATTACAGTTATTATAATCAGGAACCTGGAACATGTGTTACTATTTCATTCTGACCAAAAAATTATGTTATGTTTATAATTATTATGCTTTTAAAATAAAAAAAATTTTAAATAGTTTTTATATTGTTATTTTGCATGATATTTAACTTAATAAAAAAAATTATCATTTATATTTGCAGAGTATAGTATTAACATACTGAATTTTATTGTTGAAAAACATTACTCAACACTAACTTGTTTTATTTTATAAACAGTTAAAATTATTTAAAATTTTATTTCAAAAAAAGTTAATAATCTTATTTAAACATAATGATCTTTAAGATAAGTAATAATATTGTTATGTGAAGCAAACTGGAAAAAAAGGAAAAAAAAGAAGTTATGAATGAATCTTTATAAATATTATTATGATTAATCAAATTAAAATTTTCATTTTTAAGAATGTTCAAAACTGTTCCAGGAACATTCTTAAAATTGCCATTCCTGTTCTGATTGAGTTCCATATTTTTTTTCAGAGATTCCAACCCCAGGCACTTTCTTTCATGTCCCTGATTAAAATAATATTTTTACCTTATTTTCAAAAAAAAACATAATATTCTTATATTTTATTGATAATATTCAAAAAAAGTTTCCATTGGCACTATGGAGATAGTCTGAAACTCTAAATGATAATTATATTTTGTTTTACAACAGTTCAGTTCTCAATGAAGATAAATTTAATCATTTCCTTTCTTTAGGCCATATAGTAGTCATTAGCCTAAAAATTTAATAAATGATTCACCTGAATATGGAATTGAGAATATAAAATTGCATAAGTCTCTATAAGTGGAGTTATTGTTTACAAGGATATCCATCCATATTTACTGAAAATTCATCACAATAAGAATAAAAATGTTAATATTCTCATAGAAAATCTATACTTGCTATTTTGTAATTAATGTCAATTTTTTGAAATTCTTTAAATGTTGGACATTTTTATAACATCATATGGCTAAGATACAATGAATTTATGGACTTTTTGAGAAAAAATGTGGGTATGAGGAAACACAACTGAGTTCAATTTTAGGCTTGAAATCTTGTGGATTATAACCATATCATAATATTTGATAAACATGGTTTATCCCCATAAAATAAGGCTTAGTGTTGTTAAACAGACCAATTTGGGTCAAATTTTAAAAATGGTCAGATTAAGATTTTAGCCAAAATAATGTGTGACAGGTTGCTCATGAATGGCTTAATACTAATAAAGCCAATTACAACCTATTTATATGAAAAATGTTGGCTGGACCCACCCATAATGTGTGGATGTTTATTACACTCATAGTATGAAATATTTCCTATATTCCAGAGACCTGCAGGCAAAAAAAAATGATATTTAAGCCTGGGCTAAACTTAATATTTTTTTAAAAAATCCAGGCAAAGCCAATTTAAAAATATATTTAAATTGTATCAATTAATCGATTAAAAATCATATAATAGAGCATATATTCATTTAATCAGTGTTAAACAGCTTGATTTTGGTGCTTTTTAAAATGGCCCAATTAAGATTTTAAACCAAAATAGTATTATGGAGATATGCTCATAGATAGCAGAAAACCCTATGATATAGAGGTATACCACTCCTCGCTGTAGTAATTTGAGGAATATATTACATAACCCTCTTAAAGAGGTGCAAACCTTTTGCTATACATAATATTATTTAGGTTAAAATCTTAACTGGGCCATTTTAAAAAATTAACCTATATCAGGTCGTTAAATAACACTAAATGTAATGTCCATTTTTCAATTTTTATTTGAAACAATTTGCAAAATAGAGCAACAAAAATAAGCTAGATAAAATAATTTTCAAAAAAAATATTAAATCAGTCTTGAAAATAAAACTTTTTAATTCCAGGTTAAATATTAGCTTAACAGGTCTTTGATATATGCATAATATATTTTAGGTTTAACTTACATAATCCAGGTTTGCTATCATGTTGATTCAAAGCCCAATCTTTAGTTTAATAGTTAAAAAAAAATAAAGATTAGATATACCTGATAAAAATGATTGTTTTTTTCCTTTTCCCTCCTTAATATCTCTAAGAGTTTCATAAACCATTTGGATAATAGGCAAACAAAATGCCTATAGGAATAAGAATATTAATTGTTATAAAGTTTAAATTACTCCAGTTTTTCCACTACCAGTTTCTGCAGCCATAAGAACATCTCCTCCACCTAAAATCAAGGGAATTGCTTCTGCTTGAACGTCTGTTGGTAACCTATAATATATATATTAATATGATAGAGCCTTTGTAACTACATCCAATCCATTTCTTCGATAGATTGTCCAATCTCTGGCATTAACCCAAATTCTAATTATTTTTATAAAGCAAAAATAAGATGGTTAAATATTATAATATGTTTATAAAATATACCTTCAAAAGCTGTCATGATAAATCAGATGGTAAAAATATAATGTGCAAAATATAGAAAAGTGACAATGAAGAAATAAAAATATTTAAATGAAAAAATTGGAAAAATCATTATTTTATTATATCAAAATGAATAAAAATGGTCAAAATTTTTAACTTAATGATAATAATAATTTTGAAAAATGATAATTATAAGGACTGAGCATTACCAAGCAAGCTACAAGACAACTTACGATAAGGATATCGAACTTACGATTTAAACAAACCAGCGATTGGGACAAGCCAACGACTACAATGACTTATGAAACAACTAGATGACTAAAACGATAAACCACTTGGGCAACAAACTCTCTATGACAGCTTAGATGATTTCATGGGAAGGCTTTTTAGAAGAGGGAGAATGTTATATTATAGGAATTAACAAATGCCTATGAAGTTATTTTGTTTTGATGATTTTATTTTTATATTTTAGATACGAACTTATGAAAATAATAACGAATCTAATTTTTAAGAATTCTATTATTACTGACATACCATTAAATAATTTCAATATGTAGTAAAGGCAACTGAATTATGACAACGATGAAATCTAAACAGTTAGTATCAATACTGGATGTTATCTTTTAATATTAATAATAGATATAAATATATTTTAAGAATCATATTATTTATGTTTATGCTTTAGTTGTATAATTATATTTAATAACAACTACATAGAAAAATTATATAAAAATTACTTTAATGTCATTGTTTTTTTAGAAATTAGAGGTTGGACAAAATTACCTAGATTTCCTTAATTTCAGTCACAAGTTGCTTTCTTTTTAATGATGATATGATACTTTACTTATGATACCTGTTCTTTTTAATTTTATTTTTTAGTAGCTTTTTTTATATTAATTTAATTTTGATATCATTTTAATTTTTAATTAAAGATGATTTAACAAATAATAATTAATTTTAATATTTATAAACCTCTAATTTTATTTAATTAAAATTTATTATATAAGTTATCTGGAAGGTGGACCTTTTATATCTTTATATTTTACTTCTTTCATTGCTATATTCATTAACTCATTACGACACTTATGACTCAGATGTAGTTCCACCCTCATATAACTTCCTATTTGGTTTACAAAGTTGTTGGTATTTCTGAGAAAATTTAAAATAATTATATAGAAGTTTGGTCACATATGACCAACATACTAAAAAAATTTTTTTTTATCTTATTCTATAAATTTTTATTTTATTTTTGACAGACATTTTCCTTGTATTTATTAATTCTGTTTCATAAAATATATATTTTTTTTATAATTTTTATAGAATTTTATAATTTTTTTTTATAGAATTCTGTCTAGAAAACCTAATAAAATATATTATTTTATAGAATTTTATTTTTTTTTATAATATTTCTATCTAGAAAACCTGATAGAATATATTTTTTTTTATAAATTTTATAATTTATTTTATAGAACTTTACAATTTTTATATTAAATTCTGTCTGAAAAATTTGATAGAATATATTTTTTTCTAAATTTTATAATTTTTTTATAGAATTCTGTCTAGAAAACTTGTTAAATATTTATTAAAATTAAAAACATTGTTTTAATAATTACTTTAAAATTAATTCTAACTTTTATACCATATTTTAATTTTATTAAAATATATTGGTAATAATTTAATTAATTTCTTGTAACAATAACTTATAACTTGTTGTTTAATATTTTCTATAGCTTGATCTTTATGACCAGCCGATTTTCCTAAAGTAACTTTCTTATTTCCTATAATACAATAGTTATTTTTTTAGAAATTTCTTCTCTCTTGGTAACCTTACACATTTTAATTTAATATCCTACATTTTTAAGAACATGTAATCCTTTATTTTTGAATTTTGTATTATACTTAAAATAGTAATTTATCTATAACCAATTATCCATAACTATATTTAGCACTTATTTTCAAAATTTCTTTACTTTTACGTAATTTTTTTGATCTGAAATTATTTTAGTTAAACGTTCATCTCAGATTCAAGCGTACATACTAAAATGGAGCATATTATTTTTGGTAAGTTACAAATAGCGTCTTTCAATATAAATGAATGAAAAACAAATTAGTAGTATTGCTTAGAGATTTTGCATTCATGAAATTAGATATCGTAGGTATCCAAGAAACCCACTGCCCAGGAAATAATACCGCAGACTTTAAAGATTATAAGCTCTTTTGTTCTGGTACTACCTCCAATAACTGGTCTGGAATTGCATTCCTAATAAACAAAAGAATACAAAAATCAATCATCAAATTTGTACACATATCTGAAAGATGTGGTCTCCTCTATCTGAATACTAAATTTAAACCTACAATAATTATTAATTTATATGCTCCACCTAGAAAAAATGATAGACTAAGTTTTATTGACACAATGACCACCTTGATTGATTCTTTGCCATCAATTATTAGGTGATCTTAATCTGAAAATTGGTAAAATTATAGAGTATGCTAATATGAATATTATCGGAAATGTAATTTTACAACAATCCAATAGTGAAGATAGTAAAATATTACTAGATCTTTGTAAAAACAAAAACTTTAAAATTGAAAATACTTTTTTTCACCATCGTGAGATAAACACTTATACTTTTGTAAGAGCTAATTAGAAATCCCAAATAGATTTCTTCATATCAAATATTCATGGGTGGTTTGATGATGTTATAGTGTCTACTAATATTAAATTGACGGATCACAGAATAGTAGTAGCCAAAATAACTATAAAAAATATATGGGGATACCATAATGGGGTCAGTCCAAATACATCTATTCACAGGGAAAATCTCTTAAAACCCCTCCTCTCCAGAAAACAAATTAAAGCTCAATCGCAAGATGACTTGCTGCTATTCGATCAAATACTTGTCAGGAAAAGAGATAATTTTCTAAACATGACCTCGAATGGAAGTATTGATAAATTCTGGAACCTTTTCAAAAAAGATATTACATATTCTTATAATAGGCTACCTAATATAAATATTAATTCAAGGAGTGAATGTTTAACAAATGAAACAATAGCAAAAATCAATCAGCTTAGAGAAGGTAACAACCTGAATAAATTGTGAAAAGATGTAGAAAAATTGTTAAGGAGCGATAGAAGGAGATACATTGCAATAAAAGCCTTTGAAATTGATAATGATATGAAAGAAAATAGAATCTATGTTATAAAAAATTGAATTATTTTTGCAAACCGTACAGCTTTAAGAAACTTCCCTATTTAGTTTTAGCAAATGGAAAGCAAATTTCGGATCAAGACGAGCAAATAGCGTTATGGTTAGATTACTATATGAAGGTCTTCGACTCAAGAAAAGCCGTAAACGAACATAAGAGAACACTCAATCCCTCCTCCGTCCAGTTTCTCCACTGTTAAAATTGGGAAAGCAATCACTAAACTGCGTAATAATAAAGCCCCTGGGCTAGATAAAATAATGGCTGAACATCTTAAAATAGCACCAAACACTATATCCTCCTATCTACTACCTCTCTTTAACAAAATATGGGATAGTGGTGAAACTCCCAAAGAATGGAATATCTCTTTATTATGTAATTTCCCCAAGATAAAAGACCCAAAAAATTTCAAAGATTATCGCGCGATTGCCCTCACATCTACTATGTCTAAAATATTCATGGTTCTGATAAAAAACAAAATCATGTCATCTCTGCCAACCTTGCTTCCGAAATATATTAATGCCTACAGACCAAAGAAAAATATACTAAAACCAATTTTAGCACTAAAAATAATAATACAAAAATGTTGGAAATATAAAATTCCCGCCTACTTCACTTTTGTTGATTTCAGTAGAGTTTTCATAATGTAAATCATGATGCTTTATGGAAGATGCTGCTGGAATGCGGGATTGAATCAAATATAATTCACATATTAAAAACCACTACACGAATCTTACCGGTTGTATCAAGATCAACAATAAGACATCCCCCCTCTCCTTTTAAGATTAAGAAAGGTGTGAAACAGGGATGTGTACTTTCACCTCTTCTGTTAATATCATAATGTATAAAATTATAAATGAAGTCTCGGGAGCCGCAAGTTTAATGGATCTGAGCCCAAACGCAAAGTTACATCTAGAAAATAGAATAATATCATATGCGGATGACATCGCTCTTGTGTCTGTAAGCATCAAAGAAACGGAAAATCTGTTATACATACTAGAAAATTTAAGTCTAAAAATGTATTTGAAAATAAATTTTAACAAAAAAGTCATTCTTCCTTCCCCTAGTGCAACCCAAAATCCAAATATCATAATTGGTGGTAATATTATTAAGATAGTAGATAAAATTAAATACTTAGGCATATTGTTGGACAACAAGGGCTGCTGTAAAGATGAATTGAAAATTAGAATACAAAAAACGAGAGGGGCGTTTTATAAATATATGAAAATTTGGAAAACGAAAGAGATTTCTATATACACCAGACTAAGAATTTTCAATTCTACTATAATTCATATATTATTATTTGGCGGAGATTTATGGGAAATTAATAAAACAGAAAATAGAAGATTACAATCATTCATAAATAACTGCCTCCGAACTATAAATGGCATCTTTTACCCAAAAGTAATGTTTAATATTTATGGAGAATATCAAAACACACTCCAATTCATATTACATTATAGAAACGTCGCATTCAATTCCTAGCTCACATCATAAGAAACTCGGATCATAATCTAGTTCATGACGCCATTACATGGCTCTACACTTATAATAGGAAAGAATATACAAAATATAAATCTTTATGGTTTTATAAAACCATAAAAGATATTATGGAACTAAACTTAAACATGAAACAATTTATTAAGTTAAACAACTGCAAAAATTCCATAAAGAAGCTCTTCAGAATTAAAGACAAATATTTTAAATAAAAAATATCTGGGCTTGTTTTTAAAATGAATGAACTAGTATTTTCCAAACCTTTTCAGGACTTCAGGACAAACCAAAATGGAATTGTTATGCTCTTTAAATTTTTTTTTTGTATAGTATGAAATTACAGCTTTAATTATAAAAAATTAAATTTAAA